CCTCAGCTCTCCCATGTTTGAAAGAGAAGGTGCTGAACCCTGGTTTTCATGTCTGAAGAATTCGTATATGTAACCGTCTCTGGACTGGCAAGAAATGTACATTCTGCCAAACAATTCACAATTGCTTTTCAGAGTTCTATTTGGTGTGACGTCCGCGACTGTTTTGAGGATGGCGTCTTGTGGAATATAGTGATGTTGTTCAATTGGATGATGTTTGAGACTGGAGTCACTCGCCGCTCAAGCCGCTCGGTAACGTAGGTGTCATATTGCGATTCCCCTATCTCTTTAATAGTCTGGAGATTGGTGACTGCACTTTCTCCCATAACTTCCTTCGTGTCCAGCCTAACGAGATCCGCGTGGTATTCTGCGAACGGGTTGCCCATCTCCTGCAACGTTGTGACCATTGCCTTGACATGTTGAGCAAACTTCGCTTGAACGGCGGGAGATTGATCATGGTGTTTTATAGATTTCTTAGGAGACATTCCAGGCGATGTTTCGAACTTTTTTCGCGTTGTATAAACGTTGACTTGCGATCATTCATATCATGACGGAATTAATTAAAGAATTCGTTGAGATTTTGGTCTGTTTTTGCTGGGTAATGATTTTTTAACAATTTTTTGTGTTCAGTTAGTGAAGGATTAATAATGTTTATTGCTACATGTATACTCTAGTTGTCTTATTAGGACATGCGTAATTTAGAAGATTAATGCGCGTATTTTGAACTGCTTGTGTACACGTCGCGTTTACTTGAAGAACGGCACTGAATCGGTGTTCAGTTGCTTTCAAAAGTCCCCCGTGTTTTGTTGCGTATTTCAGTGTCGCTTATTCTCGAACAAGCCATAAAATTTAAATGTCAAAACACAATCGAGCATTCTGAATGTTTTCACTCATTATTATGGTGCACCGTTGTCCATGCGTGTATGTGCAGCGTTGAGGGGAATTTCAGAATAGAAGACTAATGATTTCACACCGTTTTTCAGCATATTCTATTCAAATTTAATTCTCAACGCTATTTTGCAATAATATGTTGATGCAATATCATGCGCAATGCAGCGTAACGGGCGTTAGTGTATTAATAATAATTATATTAACGATAAAGCCTTTCAACTTGTTTAGCAGGCTTTTACTGAGACTTAGTCGAAACACAACGTTAACTCGCATCGGCTTAACAAGAAAATAAGTACTAAGGCACGAACATGTTGTCGAAATGTGCGTGACGAAATAAAGAGTGGAGAAACGTTGGCATTCCAACAGAGAGCTAAACAGGATCTATTGGCGGTAGCTTCTAGTTAGAGTTACGAAGCATGAAGCCTTGTATACCTTGTAGATGCATTTCATTTGTGTTGATTTCCTTGCCACCCGACTTCTAGTAAAACATTCGCCAGGCGTGGTATTTGTGAACGATTAACATAGTGACTGTGCGCTTTTATTTGAAGATATAAAGGTAGATATTTGGAGTATTATAATTAATATATATATATATATATATTAAGCATGTGCGTAATTATTGGCCACAAGCTTTGCGATCAGTCCAGAGACATAACCTCTAGCACGTCAGTAATTCCGATCGTGCTTTTATTCGCAACCCGATATATAAGTGTGCTATATTCATTTAATAAGCACGACCTTTTCTGGCGATGCTCATTGACACACTTATTAAAATAACTATTCTAATAATTGTTATATTGCTTGCACAGAGAGCAACGCAAAATGGCCGTCTGTTTACCGAGTAGCAGTCGAGTCCACAGACAATAATGCTGCTCGTGTCAGCCTGGCAATCCACACCATCACCAATACGCCAGGACACCGCGGCTGCGACTATAACATTAACATTTTGGATTCTCCTGGAGGAGAAAGACTAGAGGAAGAACGATGCAAACGAAAAATAAAAAGATAGAAAGAAAGAAAAGAACGAAAGAAAGGAAAGGAAAGGAAAGAAGAAGCGGCTCGCACACAGAATGATTAATGCAGACATAACGAGGAGGCAGACATTATGTCAACACATTTTGCGAATTCGTCTCGTACAAATAAAGATTTATTTGCGTCACCGAATGATATTACAACACACTGTGCTTTGTGAGACTAATATCAACACCACTCCTATTCCCGCTAGCTTTTATTATTGATGTATATGTATATATATATGTATATTATATATATATATATATATATATATATTAATATTATATATTAAGCATGTGCGTAATTATTGGCCACAAGCTTTGCGATCAGTCCAGAGACATAACATTAACATCCCGTCACCACCTTGTGTCTGGACCTTTAAGTCTGGAATTCGAATGAGTAATCTCTCCTTCAATCTGGTTGTATTGGCTTTTCCAGAAAAAGATGGATCTTGCTCTTTTAGTCTGGCTTTATACAGTCTTCCCAAGTAGGACAATTTGAAGACTGGTAGTGTTTCGTCTTGCCGAAATTTTTCTATGTATGAAACAAGCTCCGCCAGTACAAGGCTATCTCCTTTGTGCCTCAGATCATGTTTTGATTGTTCAGCGTTCTGTTTCCGAATGCGGTTGCTCAGTGAAGTCATGCAGCTGAGATGGTACCTTGCATCTAAAGGCATGCATGTCTCCCTCAGACAGTTTTCCCAACAGTTTTCTGTCTTGTAGTATATGTGCATACTCACGAACACAAAGATCAAGTTTTTCTGTCTGCACATTATGGAGTTGCTCGTGTGTGTCATCTTCATCACATAAAAAACATCTGCTTGTCCTGGCCATTGAACCAATGCCGGTGAGTCTGGTCTTAACTGGACTCGGTTCAAATGCTGTTTGTTCTTTGGCTTTCATTTTTTTGTGCCCGCTGGCGCTTTTGATTATCAAATTTGGTTCTACAGCTTTTGTGCCATGTTGCATGGTTTGATTTAAGAGAGGATTCAATTCCATCTCCACCGTCTAGTCGAAGAACATTGATGTCCAGAGGCAAACAATTTATCTTATGGAACTCTAAAATGTTTTCAGCAAGAATTGTGTAGCCGCATTCCTTATCACGTCCTCTATATAATCCCTTTCCAGGATCGACAAGTTGTTCCGCAGTGTCCTGTTGGCAGATTGCACATAATTGCCAGTTCGTAACAGCTGATTCCTCGCGAGATTGTTTTATTGAAGAGGTACCACCAGGATCAATTAGTTTGCATTTCTTTGACATGGTTATGGTACATAATGTGGTGAATATGGTGTAAGTCTATACTACGGGGCTGGTTAGCAGAGAAGTTTCTAGTGGACTATTTTTACCGGACGTCCTCCTGAAAAGAGAAATATAATACCATCACCACAACATCTATGAAGAGAATAGGGAACAAAGAAACAGCTAACACCATAATTATTTGAGTGCATAGAATAATTTGAAATCATGCTTTGTAATCAGACGTTTCATTCCAGTTAAATGGACGATTAAAAAGAAAGATGTTTACATGTTATGTGTTGAAATTATTTTACGCTATAATACACTCTTGCAAAGCTGTCCATCTTTCACACCAAAAGTATTTTTACCGATCGGTAAAGGCACTGCGATAGACAGACTGCTGTCTAGCAGACCAGTTTCGGTTTCAGGCTAACGATGGAATCACTCTTTTTAATGTGGTTTTAAATTACCACATCAGACCATGAGGCAATGGCCGCGCCACCTATCGGATCATATATGAGTTAATATATTATGTTTTAACACTTTTTATTATATAAATCCGTAGAAATAAATAAAAACATATATGCAATAAGATTTGTTAAAACGCCGAATAGGCTTACCGATCGATTGTTTCGCGTTGTATAAACGTGGAATTGCGATCATTCACATCATGACGGAATTAATTAAAGTGATTACGTCACGAATTTCTAGCACCATCAAGTAGTACATTTGTGTGTTATTTGTACAAAATAAAATGTATGAAAATACAATTAGTGTTTCTGTTTACTTTTCATGCTTATAAATTATACCTTCTTTATATGCCCTAATTTGCCGGTGAAAAACAGAGAGACGCCAGTATCTGAACAGTACTGGGGGAATAGTGTTAGACAACAGAAATTACCAAATCGTCTAGATTTTTGCAAATTTAACCAACGTAAAAACATTTTTATCAGGTGAGAGTTTGAGGATATATTTAGTAACGTTAGTTCTTACTTTTAATGTAAAAAAATGGCAATTTTTTTTTTTACAAATTTTACCATAGAAAATTCGTGACGTAGTCCTTTTAAACAATTCGTTGAGATTTTGGTCTGTTTTTGCTGGGTAATGATTTTTTAACCATTTTTTGTGTTCAGTCAGTGAAGGATTAATGATGTTTATTGCTACATGTGTACTCTAGTTGTCTTATTAGGACATGCGTAATTTAGAAGATTAATGCGCGTGTTTTTAACTGCTTGTGTACACGTCGCGTTTACTTGAAGAACGGCACATTGAAAATGCATGTTTAGAACTCCACGATCAAATGCGCGTTTTTCCATCGTTTCCAACGCGTGTTGGATACGGCACGTGTCGACTTGGCCGGCTGGGTATTAACCTGCGCCAGTCTGCAAATTTTCACGTCTCTATATCTTCCGTGAACGGAAATATTGCAAAGTTTGTAATTTTTATGGCGGCCATTTTGAATCCAAGATGGTGGCCGAAAACGCCCTTGGATCACATGCATCACGTTGTTGTATGAAACAGTATCCCAAATTACGTCTGTCAGTCAATTTTCAAGTCTGTACGAAGATTATTAACCGAGATATAGCTATTTTTTTAAGAAATGACGGCGGCCATTTTGAATTCAAGATGGCGGCCGAAGTTGTAGTTGGATCGCGTGTCTCCTGTCTTTAAATGAAAGAGCATACAAAAGTATGCAAGTGTACCAATTTTGATACTTTTTTTCACATTTTGAACGATTTTTATCTAATATACTGTACTATTAGTGATACTAGACTTGTCTCGTCCGTCTTTCCTAGACAACGGCGGCTGAACTATGTTCTAAGTACATTTATCAATTATTCTGTGTTTTTCTTTCGTTGCAGTTTGCAGCTTTGTTGTGCACAAGCGCTGCCATGAGTTTGTCTCGTTCCAGTGTCCCGGAGCCGACGTTGGACCGGACTCTGATGTAAGTCTAATGCTATGTTAAACATGTATGTGGACACTGTATGTCTAAATAAGCCACGTGTGTGAAAACAGTTGATACTTAACTAACTCGCAACACAATACACGAACCTGTCATAGCTGTTACAGCACATAGTCGTATACAACAGCATAAAATATAAATAACATGTAACAGTGACCCAATCAAGCAGCTTGTACCCTGAGCCTGATGCAAGCTTAAATGTTTACAGTGTGTACACACTATCCAGCGGTAAATACGCGCTAGTACGGACTAGCCCCACAAATGGAGGTGGACCAGGCGTCCAGGCCCGCTTGGAAGCGTGCCCGTACTAAGTGTAAACCGCGCTAAACTGTGTGTGTGTGCAATTCGGTGCTAGACCCACGCCAAATTTCGCACTACGCATGTGCATAGTCTATAACGTGGGCGATAGCATGTTGCTCTGATCGTTCACATGTCACAGTAACATCTTCACGACGCATAACACTGATTCAAACCCTCTAACACTAACTCGTCCGCACTTTGCAATACTGTCGCAGCAACTTGGGGAAACCGAGTTAAGACGCGAGTTTCATTGAAGAACACTCTGAGACTCGCGCGTTACTCATTGCATGCATGGTTTACGTAAATCGCACTCAGCCGGCGATTGCATGCGGAGATATCTGTCACATGCTATTTCGTTTGCGACAAACTGATGCTTGTGCACACGAGAGCCCCTTCCAGGGGGGTATATTATGTTCCCTTAATGTTTATGCATTTTCTCCCTTATTCCCTATTAATGAAAAAAACTTGTTCCCTAAAATGTTTTTACCTTATGTTCCCGCGATCCCGAAAATTATTTTTCAGTTTCCCTAATCCCAAAAAATTATGAAAGAACCTATAATTGTGGACCCTAATGGTTCCTACAGCACACTATGTTGAAATTACCCGGAAATACGGATGTTTATTGTAAACAGTCTCAGAAAATAGCGAAAAAAATCAGAGATCCCTTGCTCCCAAAAATCTAATCAGCAGTTCTCTTAAGCTTGTTCCCTGAAAGTTAATGCTCCTGTTCCCTTGTTCCCTAAAATCCATGGGAGGGGCTCACACAACGAGCATACCCTTTTAGCATGTCTGATGTGTACACGGGCGTAGATTCGCCGCTTTCGACACGGGCACATTACGGGAAACAAGAGACGCGGCATGCGCACACTACTCTCTAGAAAACGTTATAACAGGTGTAGGAGGGTCAGACTGACGAGGGAGAGAGACAGAGAGATACAGAGAGAGAATAAGCGCGAGAAAGAGAGAAAGAAAGAGAGAGCGTGAAAGGGATATAGAAAGAGAAAGAGAAAGCGAGCGAGCGAGAGAGAGAGAGAGAGAGAGTATATATGTAACAGCATTAATCCTGCGATGATGATGACGACGATGATGATGATGATGATGATGATGATGATGATGATGATGTTAATGATGATGATGATGATGATGATGATGATGATGATGATGATGATGATGATGATATTGATGATGATGATGATGATGATAAATATGATGATGATAAATATGATGATGATGATGATGATGATGATGATGATGATGATGATGATGATGATGATGATGATGATGATGATGATGATGATGATGATGATGATGATGATGATGATGATGATGATGATGATGTGAGACCAAACCCGAAAGCGCATGAGACAGCGCAACTAAATACCAGATATTGTCCCGTTTGTATACCCCGTTAGTATACCCCGTTAGTATACCCCGTTAGTATACCCCGTTAGTATACCCCGTTAGTATACCCCGTTTGTATACCCCGTTAGTACCGGTCATTACTTTAGATTAACCAACGGTTTGGTCTCGTTGCAGACGGGCTTACACGTGGATTCGGTACACATCGACACGCCCTCTATATTGACGGTCGCACGTATACAGGTGTGCTGTCCATGAATCCATTCACACGTTGACCTCGCGTGGGGTGCTAATGCAGTAATTATGTTATTAAAGGCGGATGGCATATATTACGAACGGTTCCAGTAAAATTACGGATATCTGCCTAAATGAAAGTAGATCGATAATCGTCAATGATGGATGATGCTTGCGTCGTGTAATAATATGATAAATGCGACGTGCGCTGGGGAAAATGGTGATGGGAGTTTTCACCGTGACCAGCGGGTATGCGAACATGTCGATAGCTTCTAGATGCGTGCACACGCGCGAGTAGAGAGAATGCATTCTCTGACCTCGACTGCCGCAGAGCCTGCCTTTCTGCCGCGGTGCCTCGTATGCCTTTGTATACATGCGCCGTTTCTTCTTTTTGGAGTTAAATCACTTCGTTATTGCTATGTTATTGTTATGGATTGCTATAGTTGCGGTCGTGTCCTATTGCGATGATGGCTTCGCATTAACTGCCTGGCGAATGCATGCGTTGGCAACGAACATTTCAGTGCTCGCTGCCGTTATCCAGGCAGCAATTCTGTTAGCGAGGCGACCTGGCACTTAAGGAGGCATACAACAGTAAGCCTCCGCAAATTGCTCACCTTTCAACCTGTTTAAATTGCACTATTTGGTCGCTAGAAAAAGCCTTTTTGGGGATTTTTTTCGGTAATATTAGGTACTAGAGTGTAATAATTTGCATTATGCACGCAAGTTAGATACCTTGTGGACGTCTAGAAAACATTAGAAGTAAAATTGGTCTTGTCGTAGTTGTGACATTCCGTCAAGTGGCGTAGCCATGGTGACCGGTTGGTCATAACACATTTTGTGTTTGAAATGTGATCCGACTACTTACTTTGTAGAAATGCGCGTCATAGAGCTGGCAAAAGTTTCAAGCGGAGCATAGAGCATGAATCTGTAGTTATTTAATATGAATAAATTGTATGTTGTGTATGCGAAGAAACAGTGTGAGTCTTTTTAATTAATTTCTGTTCGATGCTAATTCAGGCCTGCTGCCTATGGACGCCTTCTACTGTTGTACAACACCTTAAACGGCATGGTAGGAAATGCTGTTCTGCACAAGAAAAGTTTTATGTTAAGAAAAATCAGTTATGCAAATCCTCTAGCATGGCTTTTAGACACATGCATGTTCAAATGACATTTAAACATGTATTTATGTAAACATGTACATATCCGTGTACAAATGTAGATGTTATTTACATATGTACATTGAAATACACTCATTTACACTCATTTGGTGCCAGAAAATAGATAATTACGCTCGTTTCACTCTTTTGCGGCACCCCTAACACTAGCAGTATCAAAATATCTTAACTCTGTTGGTTGCAATTCACTCTAACCCTAGTGCTAACACTGCGACTAACCGTATGGAGCGAACATTAATTTCCATTGATTTCTGTGTTTTGGGGGCTCATTTCAGAGAGTCAAATCTCAGCTCCCGAAGGCATGCCACATGATACTCGCATGAGAAAAAGGCTCTAAATTATCCATCTAAAATTTTAAGTCGATCCGTATCTCGGCTGTTCCTTTAATGCTGGTCGCGCGTGCGCATGCGTACTAGTACGTCACTGCCGGCCTCTCCCGCCGCCACGCCATGGCCCACTACTGCGCACTCGAGCAGCAGTGACCTCTCGTAAAAGATTTGTTGTGCAACCGGCAGTTAGATGCGATATGATATGACTACTAGGCACTTTAATTTAATTTAATTTTTTTTTTTTTTAGTGTTAGGGTTAGGGTTTAGGTTAGGTTTAGGGTTTAGGTTAGGTTAGGGTTAGGGTTAGGGGTGTTTTTTTTTAAGTGCCTAGTAGTCATATCCTAAGTGCCTAGTAGTCATATCATATCGCATCTAACTGCCGGGTGCATTTGTTGTGAAGCGGCGGAGGCATTTGCACCGGCGTCCTGCCCTGCTACTGCCACGTCGTGGCACAGTTACGTGATGCATTTACAAAATCATTAGCGTTTATTTTCGGGTTTTCCCCCCACAGCGTTCATTTTATTAGCCAGCTAGAGCTAGAGCGCGTCCACACCTATTATTCACACCTATATCGATCGTCACGCGCATGTTTTAACCCACTAGGGATCACTGCGCACGTTTCTCCACCCGATTCCCGCGAAGGGGGCCAGGTGGAAATCGACTGTGCGGATCATTGGCGCCGTCTGATTGATTAAATTCCAGATCTGGACTCAACGAAGAAGAAGACTGCGTTCGTAGGTTTCGCTGTATGTGAGGCACGCTAGATGGCGCTCAGATCTGGAGGGGGGGGCTGAGCGGCAGCAGGCCTGAATAAGCATCGAACAGAAATTAATTAAATTGGGGCAGACGCGTGAGCAACGGCCTGACGTTAGAGCATCCGCTATAAACGAGCAACGTAACGAGCGCGTTAAGTCGTAAACACAAACAGAAGCACGCGCGTAAAATAGAGCAGACGATTGCGATACGGGAATGCACATGGAATGTACCTCGACGTATACGAGGTGAAGTTATACCGGTTGGAGAGGGATAGAGATTGAGAGATAAGTAGATAATAAGAGAGAGAGAGAAAGAGATAGAGAGAGCTCGCGAGATAAGGATAGATATATAGTTAGATTGATGGATGGATGGATAGATGGACGGACGGACGGACGGACGGGCGGATGGATGGATAGATAGATAGATAGATAGAGGGAGAGAACGAGAGAAAGTAAGGAAGGAAGGGAGACAAGGAGGAAGTGAGGGAGGGAGGGAGCCAGGGGAGAGGGGGAGAGAGAAAGAACGAACCAGGGAGTTGGAGAGAGGGGGAAGAGAGTAAGAGAGCGAGTGGTGAGCTAATGAGAGGGGAAGGGGAAAACAGAGAGGGACAGAAAGCGCGCGCGGGAGAGGGGGAGCACCCGGGAGATTTGTGGGCGTGGCACGGCAGTTTAGGGACAGACTAGGACGCTGAAGTTTCGTCTCTCCGCTATCCCAAGAAGGCCATGAATCTACTAACCGTAGGATTCGGGTGATAGCTAAGGTTAGGGTTTAATCGAACGGCGGTTACTATTGCTGTATTCTGTTTTAGAATGTTTCTCATGATCCGTCTTGTAGAGTCCTCGGCAGGGTAGTATGTATATATGTATGTGTGCGTGTGCGTGTGTGTGCGTGTGTGTGTGCGTGTGTGCGCGCCGTGCGTGCGTGCATGTGCTTCCTCTCTATCCCCTCGTTTATCTGCGTTCTCGCGCGTTCTTCAATTATCGCGATAGCGTTTTACGATGTAGTTTGTGTTCATTACAGTTATAAAGAAAACGCGCCATGGCTCTAGTAGCTAACTGTTATTTATTTATCTGTAATTGTGGGCGTGTGAAGCTTTCACACAGATTACGATGGTATTTGTGAACATATACGCAAAATCCTCGGGAGGCGCGTATCGCATCGTATCTTGATCGTATGCGTGCATGCGCGGGTGCGTGCGTGCCTATGAACGTGCGTGTATGCACGTGTGCGTATGTGAATGATCATTTTCTTTGCGCAAGCCAGACTCGTGTGTGGGAACATGATTGCTTACGTGCGTGTGTGCATGCGTGCGTTTGAACGGACATGCGTGCGTTTGAACGGGCGTGCGTACGTGCGTTGTTACGGGCGCGCGTGCATCTCTATTGTAAACTAGACATACGTGCATACCTTCGCCAGCATGTAACATGTATGTGTTACGAGCTGGCTCGCCGCTCGCTGCTGGCTGCTGCTGAATGAATCGCCTGCTGCTGACTCGCCGCTCGCTGGTGGCGGCTGCTGACTCGCCACTCGCTGGTGGTTGTTGCTGACTCACTCGCCTGCTGCTGACTCGCCGCTCGCTGACTCGACGCGCTATCGATCGCGCCGCGCGGACTGGACACACACACACACGTACACACACACGAGACCGATTACATTACTTCCTTGGCGGAGGTAATGATGTAATATTGTAGTCACCGATGAGGTAGGAGTGTATCTAACAGGACTAGGGGGATTATGTACCACCTATCGTAATGTATCCCCTTATTATCACAGGCACTTGGAACGTCTCAATAAAATATAATAATGGTAAATAAACACGAAATGTATTTACTACCAAAGTCTTAATGTTTCTCTACTCTATTACGCCTATTATTGCCGATAATTACCCGTAAATGCCGGTCAAATGTTCATCTGCAACACACCAGTACACCGCACGCACGCCCTGTGCACAAACAACATGAATAAGAGAGTTATACATAATATTTTTAAATACATTTACATGTAATTATCGGCAATAATAGGTGAAATAGAGTAGTAAAACATTAAGACTTTGGTAGTAAATACATTTCGGGTTTATTTACCTTTTTATTTTTTATTGAGACGTTCCAAGTGCCTGTGCTTATTATGTACGCCTGGTATCTGTGATAATGGATATATTCCCGTACATCCAAGCGTATGCGATGCGACCGCACTCTCCGTGTAAGCCGACACGTCGCTACCGCGTATATTGGCGGTGCTTTCCTACACGGCCGCGCGTTTGCTCATTAGTGAAGCCACTGTTATATCAGCCCGAGTCGTTCGTTAGATGAACGCATACGCCACCCTCTGCTGCTCATTGGCGTTTTTTCTGCTGACAACGTTTGTGCGCTATCCCAGATGAATGGACGACCAGCGAATGGAACAGTTGTATATATATAAATTACTATATACTATATATATATAGTATATATTACATCAGAAGTAGACTAACTTCAAGGGAACTTAAGAGATATGATATATATATATATATATATATATATATATATATATATATAGCGAAAATGCCCGGAGCGAGCTCTTGTCTTGTGTTTCCAATATAATATGCGCTCGCATTTGCGGGCTGGGATGGTGACCTACCGGGTGATACAGGTGGGTCATGGCTGCTTTATGTACAATGGCGATGCCGCGCTAATGTTGTGGTAGCACGGCGCTGAATTATATATTCGAGTTCGTTCTCGTTGAGTCATGGTTAGGAAGAATAATTCTCTATTCTTACGCGCTATCG